GGGCAGGGATGTCATGGAAGCCTTCCAAGAGAAGGTTCTTAAAGGCCAACTCTGAATCCATCAGGCACAAAAGAGGGGAGGACATTCCTGGAAGAGAGAAGAGAGGACACAGAGGTGCAGAGAAGTCAAGCAATATGGCGTGTTCCAGGAATTCCAAAAGTGCGCTGTTGCCCATCTCAAGTGCTTGGGGCAATGGAAAGAGGTCACATATGGCGTAGACAGAGATGACGTTTGTGAGGTGTGGAGTGGCCCAACCTCAAACCCCCCATGAGCTGACTGGGGCTGACATGGACAGCTATGAAGGCAAGCATAATGTGTATAATCATAGGACCCTTCAGTCCTTCTATGACCATATATACAATGTAAAAGGCAGCAGCTTTATACAGTTTTTAAGATAAAATACATCTTTTCTCTTGAGGTCCATTTCCATTTCAGTGATTCTACATTTTTTTTTTAAAGATTTTATTTATTTATTTGAGACAGAGAGAATGAGAGAGACAGAGAGCACATGAGAGGGGGGAGGGTCAGAGGGAGGAGCAGACTCCCCGCCGAGCAGGGAGCCCGATGCGGGACTCGATCCCGGGACTCCAGGATCATGACCTGAGCCGAAGGCAGTCGCTTAACCAACTGAGCCACCCAGGTGCCCCCAGTGATTCTACATTTTACGTTTTGGCTGTTGACATGCAATACAAATTTACCTTGTGAACCACAGGAGAACAATCAGGACCTTTTATTTATTTGTTTGTTTGTTTGTTTGTTTGTTTGTTTATTGAAAAGAACTGATTGTTCTTTTACTGATGGACATTAACCACATATCTCTTTAGCTGGGACAACTCTTTGTTACCTTACAGAACTGCCCTTTTTGTAGTTCTCTGTGGGTTAAAGGAAAGATTGTAGATAGCCTTGTATCCTACTGAAACAAAGCATGTTCTCAATAGTAAATAGCTGTTGACTGGCCAAGTCTATCAGATATTAGATATATTTAGAGCACATGATATAAAAAATGTATAGTTTTATGAGTTTATTATGAACTCTGCTAAATCTGTCACATTCGATAAATTCTTTGTTTACAAATGACTGCAATCTGTTAACGCTCATTTGTACGAATTCGCCATATTTTTCATTTAGCTCTGTAAAAAGAATATGAACTGCTAGTGACTATTAGGGAAGAATATTCCCTTTGAACAGTATAGTGCTTGGCATGTGGTAGAGTGGTACTTATTATAATGTTTGTTGAGTCAAAGAGGGAATTATTAATAGCTTCTAATCAAGGTTTTTGATTCTTCAGCAACTAAATAGAGAAGTGTTGTCCAAAAGAGAGATGATTTAAGTCACATATGTAATATGTTTTATATTTTTTTAGTCTTGACCTTTGTAAAAGTAAAAAGAAACAGTTGAAATTAATTTTGATATATTTTGTTTAACCCAACATGTCAAAATGTTAGCATTTCAATATGTAATCAATATTATATTTATTAAAGAGATATCTTACACTCTTTTTTCCCTAAGTCTTTAAAAATCTGGTGTACATTTTATACTTACAACACATCTCAATTCAGGTGACAAATTTTCATCAGAAATACTTGAGCTACCTTTAGATTTCAGAATATTTAGTTGAATATTTAGCCTGGGTGGCTCAGGCAATTAAGCATCTGCCTCTTGGTTTCGGCTGGGGTAGTGATCTCAGGGTTGTGAGATTGAGATGGAGCCCTGCATGGGGCTCGGTGCTTAGTACGGATTTGGCTTGAAGATTTTCTCCCTCTGCCTTTTCCCACTCTCATACATGCACTCTCTCCCTTTCTCTCCCTCTTTCTAAAATAAATAAAATCTTAAAAAAAAAGAATATTTAGTTGAAAGGGTAGGTTCGTGTATCCAAGTCTTTTTGTAACAATTTAAAATTCCCCACTCACTGAATCAATTATGTTTTTAAATTATTTAAAGTTAATTAAAAATGAAATCAAATAATAAATTCAGTTCCCTAGTCACATTAGTGACATGTCAAGAGCTCAATAGCCACAAGTAGCTGGTACCTACTGTATAGAATTGTGTAGTTCTAGAAAACTGCACTCTGGAGGGCTGCTGATGGACAATGCTTTTGTAGCATATTTCAGTGGAGGTTTAGAATTTTGTAGATCTTTGTTTTTCTTTTGTTTTCTCAGTACTTCGAATTTTTTTCTGAAACCTTTATTACCCTAATACCTGAAGTTAGAAACCTCTGAATCAAACATGCCACATTTGGTTAATAATCCTAAAGAAAATTAGTCAAAGCCTTAAAGTACTCCTTTTGTCATTTCTTCATCATCACAGGTACAAGGAGCTATACATAGTGACACAAGAAAATTTTGCTCATGAGCATTCTCATTATTAAGGGCTATAGCTAAGTAAATTGTGATCTGTTCACAGTACTGCCTCTTGCCAGGTTAAGGGAAGAATTCATATGGATGCGCACACTCAATGACTTTTTTCTAACCTATGCCAAGTGAATTCTCATTATATACCAAGTCTAAAATTATAGGCATGAAGAAGGATTATTTGAATGCCATTTTGGGGGGATGACATTGTTTCTTGTCTATTTTGGTAGCCAGCATTATGGTCTTGAGCTCTCCACCCAATAAGACTCCCTTTGAATGTAGCGCCACTGTTATAAAACTTTCTTTATGGATTGATTTTAAAAATAAGTATCCCTTCCTATTACTACATGTTTTCAGCAAGTTTCAATATATGAGCCCAGTGTAGCAAACACAGCTAAGGGATTTGCCCATGACTTTTAACATACACTTTAAAGCCTTGCAAGCCACGATGCCAGAAATCCTGGGCTCTCCTTTGAGCTCTAATTACCATTACACCTTACAGGTATAAAGAACCTTATGGAGGTGGACCTGTGGGTATCGTAACTGGTGAACAATTGAACAGTACCAGGTATTCCAGTTATCTTCTTCTGCACACTGTCAACCCAGTGCATCTGTGATCTTGAGTAAGTCAGGTGCATGGACTTTAACAGGGAAATACGTGTCTGTCTGGGTTAATACAAGGATAAAGACAGGATACTATGTGAATGGGCACCAAAAAAAAAAAAAAAAAAAAAAAATCCAAGCTACCAGTTGAAGGAATGATTCATACATATGCCAATGGGGTTGAGCACTGTTTTACAGATACTTGCTTATTCCCACACTGACATGGGGACTATTGTAACACAGGGTACTCCAGTGGCTGCAGCAGTCAGTGGTGCTCCTGACACGGCATCAGCAGCCCCGATAGGCAGCAGTGGCTCTAAGTTGATCAGAAGAGTACAGGCTTCTGCCCTGGCGACTTCAATCCATCTTGGTGATTCAGGATTCCGCAGAGGGACTGTGAGAGCTTGGCATTCCCAGTTGTGCACCATAATTCAGGATGCAGCCTTGCAGTTCTAAAGCCTGCATTTTATTCGAATAGTGGTGATGAACACCAAAGGGATCTTGTGATTTTTGTTTGCCTTGTGAAATTGAGACGTGTTTACAAGATAAACTGCTAAAGAAATAAATACCTAGATGGTGTTCAAGAAGTGAATATTTACCGGATGAGAAGTTTTTTTTTTCCTCAGAGTATCTTTGTATTTGCTATTTTAGGTCTTTCGGAACACGTTTTAAGGGTCAAGTGTTAAAATTTCAGAAACAACCTTTAATGAGTCAGGATAAAAACCATCTGGTGCAGGGATTCTTCAAATGGATGAACTTCAGGAGAGAGGAGGAATTTCCCATCGTCTTAAGATTCCCATTGGAGGCTTATGAAAGTAGCTCGAAAATTGGATCTACCTCCTTCCATCTATTGCTCCTTTTATTTTCCTGTCCACCCATGAAAGGAAGTGAAAAAGAGCTGGAAATTCTTTTTGGAATATTGGAAAGAATAGAGAGAGAAGGTTTTTGTCCTAGAGGCGGAGTGTGCAAAATGTAAGCTCCCAGATAAGACAGAAAGAAGTAGCATCGCTTTTTAAAGGGCTAATGGGCCCTGGACAGTGCATTGTACAGGGATGTCTAAAGGATATATAAGTGGCAGGTGGGTGGGCGGGTGAGGAAGCCACCTGGAGGAGGTAGGACCGGGCCAGAATCAAAGACAGCCTCTCCACCCTCCCTGAACAAGCTCGCCCAAGTGACACTTCCTTGTGTCCCAGGAAGTGACGATCAGTCAGTGTAGACGTTGGGACTCCGGCCTCACCCGCTCCGGCAGGGCTGCGGTGGGCCCGCACGACCGCTTCTGCCGCCCCATTCCCAAAGAGGCGGCGCCTGGCGGGCACCTCGGCGAGCTGCCCCGCCCGAGCCCTCTGCACCTCGCCGAGGCTGCTGGCGCTTCCAGGGCTTTTGTGCCGTTTGCCCAACTGTTAGGGTGACCCTGAACCCCACGGCTCCCTGGAGAAGGGGACTGAGAGGGGGCTCGGGGGGAGGACAGGAATTGAGAAAGCTTGGACACGGGGGCGGGGGAGCAGAATTTAAGCCTGGGAAAAGTCCCGAGGTAGGAGACGGGCGGCGGAGGATCGCACCATTCTTTCCGATGAAACGGACAAAAGGGGGCCAGCTAATTGCACCAGCGCCCTCTCACCTCGCCCGGCAAAACCCAAACACGAATACAAATAAAAGCCACCCGAGGCTCTCAGACGACCGTACTCCGCGGGTGGGGCGGGAAACAAAAATAAACAGCGGGGCCGGCGGGCGAGAGCGCGCGCGAGGAGGGGGAGGAGCGGCCCCGCATCCCTAATGAGGGAATGAATGGAGAGGCGCCCTCGGCTGGCGCCCGCCCACCCGGCGGCGGCCGCCAAGTGCCTCTGGGCGCTGCGTGCCGCGCCCGCCGCTCCGCGCGCTGCCGGCTCGGGCCGCTCCTCCGGCTGAGGCGCGGCGGCGGCGGCGGCGGCGAGCGCGCCGAGCAGCCGGGACGGGCGCGCCGGGAGCCGGGGCGCCGCCGCCGCTGGGCCCCGGGCGCGTGGCTGCGGCTCGGCCGGGCGGCGCCGCACACCTGAGGCGGGGCGCGGGGCGCGGGGCGCGGCGCGGGCGGCGCTGTCAGGGCCGCGGCTCCCGCGCCCGAGCCGCGCTCGCCGGGACGAGCCGGGCAGTGATTTGCGGGGCGAGCTCACCTTCAGCCATGGCCCGGGGAGCCTAGCGGGGCCCGGCCGCCGCCCCCCGGCTCCCCTTCCCCGCCTCCCCGCCTCCCCTCGGCGCCGCATCCCGCCGGCCTCGCCGCCCGGCCCGCGCCGGGCAACCGCCCTCGCCCGGAGCCCGCCCTCGCTCCTGCCCGCGTCCCCCGCCGGCGCCGCCGCGGGAAGCGGCTCCCCCTCCCCTTCCTCCGCGTCCTCCTCCCCCTCGCCCCGCCGGGGCCGCTTGTTGCACCGCCCCGCGGCCTGCGGGAGCCGCTCGGCCCGGCCCCGCGCCCGCACCCCCTTCCGCTCGCCCCCGGGCCCGCACCCCAGCCCGGCCGGCAGGACCCCGGCCCGACCCCGCCGCCCGCACAAAATGTCGGCCCGGACGCCATTGCCGACGGTGAACGAGCGGGACACGGAGAACGTGAGTAATCCGAGCCTCCCCGGGGAGCGGCGGGGGCGAGACCCTGAGCCGACCCCCGCTTCGCCCTCCGCCGGGCCGCCGCCCCCTCCCCCCTCGGTCCCCCGCGCGGCCGCCGCGGCACCGTCTCCACCTGGAGCCGGCGTGCCCCTCGCCCGCCGCTCAGCCCCCTTTCTCATTCCAACCCCATTTCGCTGTGTTCCCCTGCAGGGCGAGGGCGGGGGCTGTACGGGAGCCCTGTCCTCGGGGTGGTCCTCCCCGAGAGGATGGGCGGATGGAGGGCAGGGAGGCAGCGGCGAGGGCAGAGTGGGCATCCCGGATTGCTGTATTTGTCCCTCGGCATGCTGTATCCCCACCCGAGGGTTCGCTCTACGGTCGCGGGCGAGCCAGCTGACTACCTCTCCCCCCTCGCTCTTCTGGCCCTTTCAGCCCTCTGCACCCCCACCCCCCTGCATTGCCCCATGACTTTGCTTTTTGTAACGTCGTGTCCCGTTTGGGGTCGTGGGCAGCGCAGGGGGAAGGTCGCAATGGAAGGGGCAGAGTGGTAGTAGAGAGGGATGTGTGTGTGTGTGTAGATGAGTTCCTGCTGCCGAGATACTCTTTGGGAGGGATGAGTAGAAGAATTTCCCGGACAGCCTCTGTGGCCCTGGGGTTACAGCAAAACGTCTGAAAGCCGGAGGAAGGCAGCGGCTTTTTATTCTCTTCCCCAAGTCAGTGGTGGTAATTCAGGGCAGGTTTTACTTTAAATATCTCTCCTCCTTCTTGGAGTGTCACACGGTGCATTTCTTTGAAGGAAGGATTTTCTGTGTCTTTGATCAAATTGCCCTCAGGAGTTTTTATCTGGATGCAGATGTCCCTGGTGTTTAAACTCTTGAAAATCAGAAGGACCGGATCAGTTCTCTTCCCACCTTCTGAAAAAGTACAGTTGTGTGTGTGTGTGTGTGAGTTTCTTTGTGGAAAAGGTTTTTTTTTTTTTTCCCTCGTGTTTGTGTGTGTTTTTTTTTTTTTTTTTTAAACCTTCATGACTTGTAAATAGGGCCTTGGTTGGTTTTCTGACTGGTGTTTTAAGGGGTTTGGAGGGTACCAAGTTGAGTCGGCTGTCCAGATCTCTGGTTGTCGAGTTAACTCAGACTCCAGTCTTGCAGTACCATGCCGTCATAAGGTTGGTAAAATAAAATATGAGTGCTTTGGCGTTCTTAGACAAAAGGCATGAGGGAGAAGATAGGAGCTCACCTCTGGAGTGTTGGCGGCTGGTATAAACAGATTATTTAATCTTGGGAGAGTAGGGGAACACAGAAACTTAATATAATTACATGAAGGGAGAAGAAATTCTAGTAAGGGACTACTGTTAGAAAAAGCTGGGAAGGTATTTCAGAGTGTGCTTTTGTCCTCCCTAGTATTGTGCATTGAAAATGGTAAACACAGTGTGAGGCTGTAGCAGAAATTATAATAACTTCATTTTGCATCGTGAGTGTTGTTTAAAAATATCTATATAATTGATGCATAATTTTGATTGGGAGATTGAAGGAAGGTCAGGGGAAAAGATGAAAAATTTGGTTAAAGTTGATCTTAAAGTCAAGTTTTGAAACAGAATGTTTCTAACAGGAACTCTAAAAAGATTCCTGTCATTAGCGTGTCATTTCAGTGAATGAAAAGTAAGAGGGACGATGACCTCTGTTTTTATTAACAAAGCACTGTGTGTTAACCTAGGAAGGGTGGAAAAATACATTGTTTTTATTTTCTTTTGGTTTTTGAGTAGTATAGCTCTTTCCATACTTGCATGAAAAAGGTACTTTTTAAGGATATGAGAGCATTATAGGAATATGCATCAAGGAATAGTACAAAATGCAGCATCACATGTAAGACCCCCCCCAAACCCAATGGATTTTTAAGCTAAGCAATATCGTGTGATAAATTTTTTTGTACCTTCTGAAAATAATTATGTTGTATAAACTCACTTGCTCTGATTCTGAACATGTTATTTCAAAGTCACTTTTATGGTCTTGTCCCCTGTCCTTGTGTTGTACCTGACTGTATCTCCACGTATCTGACTTTATCCAATTCTAATTTTCTCCTAATTGCCTAATATCTCCCAATTTGTCGAAAATATCTATTACAGTATGGCTGTTAACTAATCAGTAAATGTGCACTCAGCTTTGCTTTTGAGCTGGTCGGGATACGGAAGTATTATTTAAGATAAGGCCTCTCCCCTCAAGGAGCTTACGGGAAAAGTAAATATAATCCCAAACAAATAGTGTACAGAAGAAAACTGTGTATATAGGGCTAACTTGGTTTGTAAGTGCTATAGGCGTTTATCAAAGGGACCACCAGAGATGGCTATTAAATCATTGTTGGTGTCTGTCTTTATTCTCTGGTTAGTAGTAAATGTCATAATCCATTCTTACTTACCTCTCATCAGTGAAATAAAGAACAAGCCTGCTTGTTAGCTAATCTATTAATGCCAGTATGGCAATCAAAACGTACATTTGTTTGTAGTCGTTTTCAGTTAAGATGACGTATTTTTGAAAATAGTTGGGAAAATTTATATTCATATGACCATAAAGACTTCAAGTCCTTTGGAATATTAAGGGCATAACTAAAAACACTCTACCACTGCTAGAAATGTTTTAATTTAAACAGATATGGCAATTTTAAAAACCATCTTTGTATTTTATTGTCATTTGCAGTTAATATGAAATTTTGTTTAGTCATATGTGAATATATTTGGACTTTGTATTTTTGGGAATATGTAATACCTAGCCCATATATGCCGCTAATACATGTTGAGGATAAATTAAGAAATTCAAAAAAGGAATGTTAACAGCACCGATCTCCTATTACTACTATGGTATGTAGTAGAGTGAGAAAGAATTGCTTTTTTTTTTTCCCCCAGAACATTCTGTGTGCACTTTTTCAGATGAAGGATTTGTGCATTGATAGGCCTGAATTGGCTAAATACCACAAAACAACCAATGATGAACTTCTAACACAGTAAACACTTCATAGTGAAGTAGAGAAAGTAGAAAAGGGGCCCCTGGGCGGCTCAGTCTGTTAAGCGTCTGCCTTTGGCTCAGGTCATGACCCAAGGATCCTGGGATCAAGCCCCACACCGGGCTTCCTGCTCAGCAGGGAGCCTACTCCCCCTGCTTGTGCTCTCTCATGCACTCTTTCTCTGTCAAATAAATTAATAAAATCTTTAAAAAAAAAAAAAAGAGGAAAAGAAAAAGTAGAAAAGATATGTTACAGATCATAGAATTAATTTACGCAAAATGTGGTTGATTTTAGGTTGTAAAGAGTCTGGAAAAAGAATGGGCATTTGAAATATTTTTTTCTCTTCTCAAATTATACTTGGATAGTTCCAGCATGAATGTAGATAATATATTAACAATACTCTTAGATGCTTTTAAATGAAGCAAGATAAATTGTTTTTCTGTGTTTTAGGAAGACTCTGATTATGCTGATTTTTATGGATCCAAAATGCCCAGACTAGCTTTTTGTGGTGAATTTTAATTAGTATGAAGAAAATTGATTTGACTCTTTGGGATGTTTTGAATCTTTTAATAATAAAACTCAAAGGTGATTCTTTTGATAGATCTGAAACTCGCTGTGATGACCATCGCAAGTGCTTAGTGTGTCTACAGTGGCCATCAGTAGTTTGTCCTGTGGGAATCATTGCTAATGATGTGAAAAGGCAGGAGAGAAGCAAGCCTTTGCCACTACCCTTGGGTTGCTCAGTACCCTGTGCATGCCTCACAGGTCACCATACTTACCACACCGCATTCTAATCGCTGACTTACTTTGTCCCCTTTATTCTGTATCCCCAGCACCCAGCACAATGACTGGTAGTCAGTCATATGGAAGACATCAGTGCTGGAACATTCCCCTTTTGAATTTTTTCATTTATCATCAAAGTATCTTAGTGACACTGGGGAAGGTAAGTATTGCACACTGCAAACGGAGGCAGAAGCCTTCAGAAAGTTATGTGACCTGCCCAAGGTATAATCTCTGACACCTTCCACTGTTGCTGTACTCGTGTTATTGCTTCTTAGAGGTGCTATTTTGTTTTGTTTTGTTTTGGTCTTAGAAATTTTAAAAGAATAAATGAAATGATATAAAATGCATCGTTAGAGTAAGAACAGGGTATGCTGTGCTTATCTATATTTTGAACCTTTGCTCTTTTCTGTGTCTGGAGTGCCCTGCTCTTTCCCCCCTATCCCCAACTCATAAATCCTTAATGGGATGGCTCATCTTTCTAAGAAAAATTCTGAATTGGTTACAGAAAGGATTGCTGTCTGCTGTAGTTGAATGTCTGTCTCTGTATAATCCACACTACTGGTCTCCAAAGTGGGTGTGCAGGACAATCCATTGTGAGAAAAACATCTCTACCTTCTATTCCTGTCTGGCCAAAATGCTATTATGAACTCTTCTTCTTCTTCTTCTTCTTTTAAGCCCAGGTTGTTTAAAATCAGCCACATGGGGAGGGGGAGTTAAGATGGCGGAGGAGTAGGGGGACTCTAAGCTTGCCTCCTTCCTTGAATAAAACTAGAAGCAGCCAGTGGTTTTTAAATTATTATTTTTTAACCATTTCTTCTTTCTTCTCAGACTTTCCTTTGGGGGTCATTTTCCCGTTGCCCAATGAACACCTTTGAAGTTCTTTTAGTAAAGGATTGTTAATCATAAACTTTTCTTTTTTAAATCTGAAATATATTTTGCCCTTATTATTCAGTGATAGTTTTGCTCAGTCTCCAATTCAAAATCAACAGCTATTTTCAGTCATTGCTCCAAAGATAGTATCCTGTGGTCTGGGCTGATTTCCATTGTTTCTGTTCAGAAGTCATCTGCCATTAAGTTGGTGATCTTTTCAGGATGCCTGGGTGGCTCAGTTGGTTAAGCCTCTGCCTTTGGCTCAGGTCATGATCCCAGGGTCCTGGATCAAGTCCCACAGCGGACTCCTAGCTCATCAGGGAGCCTGCTTCTCCCTCTGCCTGCTGCTCCCCCTGCTTGTGCTCTCTCTCTGACAAATAAATAAACCTTTAAAAAAAAGTAGGTGATCTTTTCCATCTGTCTCTTTAAGATTCTCTGTTTTTCTTTAAGTGTGGGACTTTCACTATAGTGTTTTTAGGTATGGATTTCTTTTTTTTAAATCTTTTTTAAGAAAGAGCGGGGAGGAGGGTAGAGGGAGGGAGAGAGAGGATCTTACGCAGGCTCCACACCCAGCGTGGAGCCAGTGTGAGGCTCCATGCAGGGCTTGATCTCACAACCTTGAGATCATGACCTGAGCTGAAATCACGAGTTGGATGCTTAACCAACTGAGCCACACAGGTGCCCTGGGTATGGATTTCTTTTTTTCCATCTTGCTTCCTATGTCTCTGATTTCCTATCTTTCATTAGTTCTAGATACTTATCAACTATCTTTTTGAAAATTGCCTTGTTTCTGCTCCCTTTAGAGGTTCATCTGGGGACTCTGATTTGATTATGTTAGACCATAGCTCCTCCATGTGCCTTAACTTCTCATTCATTTTTTCCACAAGTTCTTTGCCTCTGTACTACAAGCTCCATGATTTGTTTGGATTTATCATCTGTGGATTTATAACTTTCATCAGTTCTACAATTAGTCAGTCTTTCTTTAAATATTAATTTACCTCTGTTCTCTCTAGTGTTTCCAGTGCCCTGATTAGATATGTTAAAATTTCTCATTCTATCCCACATATGTCTTAGACTCTCATTTCTTCTCCTATTTCATTGTTTCTCTGTACTACAGTGTAGAGTGTAATCTGCAGTACAGTTATGGTATGTAATGTTTAGATTTAGCTTTCAGTTGGCTAAATCTCTTTAGCTGTATTTAAATCACTGTTAATCTCTCTGTTAAGTTTGGGTTAAATTGTGCTAAAAAACATGTAACATGAAATCTGCTTTTTTAACAAACTTTTAAGTGCACAACTTTCTGCACAGTGTTGTATAGCAAATCTATAGAACTTTTTCATCTTGCATGACTGAAACTTTATACCATTGAATAGCAACTCCCCATTTTCCTCTTTCTCCAGTCCCTGCAAACCAAAATTCTACTCTCGGCTTTTATAAGTTTGACAACGTTACATATCTCATTTAATCATGCAGTATCAGTCTTTCTGTGATGGGCTAATTTCACTTAGTGTAATGTCCTCGAGGTTCCACTCATAATAAAGCATGACGGAATTCCCTTCCTTTTCATGTAGGAAAAATACTCCATTGAATGTATATAATACATTTTTTATCCATTCATCCATTGATGGACATTTGAGATGTTCTCATAACCTGGCAATTGTGAGTAATGCTGCAATGAACATGGGATTGCAAATCTCTCTTTGAGGTCCTGGTTTCAATTCTTTTGAATAAGTATCTGGAAGTGGATTGCCAGATTATATGTTAGTTCTATTTTTAATTTTTTGAGGAACCTCTGTATTGCTTTCCATAATGGCTACACCATTTTACATTCAAACCAGCAGTGCACAAGCGTTCCAGTCTCTCCACATCCTTGCCAACATTTATTATTGTCTGTTTTGTTTTTTGATAATGGCCATCCTAACAGGTGTGAAGTGATAATCTCATTGTGGTTTTGATTTGCATTTCTTGATGATTAGTGATTTTGAGCATCTTTTCATATACCTATTGACCATTTATATGTTTTCTTTGGAGAAATGTCTATTCAAGTCCTTCATCCATTAAAAATCAGGATTGTAAGAATTCCTTACATATTTTGGATATTAACCCCTTTTTAGATATATGGTATGTAAATATTTTCTTCTGTTCTGTGGGTTGCCTTTCCACTGTGAGGATTGTTGCCTTTGCTGTGCAGAAGCTTTTTAGTTGATGTAGTCCCACCTCTCTATTTTTTGCCTTGAATTGCCTGTGTTTTTCTGGTTATATTCAGGAAGTCATTGTCAAGATCAAGGTAATGAAGCTTTCCCCCATGTTTTCTTTTAGGAATTTTACAATTTCAGGTGTTACATTTAAGTTTTTAATGCATTTTGAGTTAGTTTTTGTGTATGATATAAGATAAAGGTCCGATTTCATTCTTCTGCATGTGAAGATCTGGTTTTCCCAGCACTATTTATTGAAAAGACTGTCATTTCCCGTTTGTATATTCTTGGTACTCTTATCAAAGATCATTTTACCGTATATACAAAGATGTATTTGTGGGCTCTCAATTCTATTCCATTAGTCTATATGCCTGTCTTTACACCAGTGCCATACTGTTTTGATTATTAGAACATTGTAATGTGCTTTGAAGTCATAAGTGTGAGGCCTTCATCTTTGTTCTTCTTTCTCAAGGTTGTTTTGGTTATTCAGGGTCCTTGTGGTTCCATGTGAGTTTTAGGGTTGTTTTTTCTGTTTCTGTAAAAAAATGGCATGGAGCACCTGGGTGGCTCAGTCGGTTAAGCCGCTGCCTTCAGCTCAGGTCATGATCCCGGGGTCCTGGGATCGAGCCCCACATCCGGCTCCCTGCCCAGCGGGGAGCCTGCTTCTCCCTCTCCCTCTGCCTGCCTCTCTGCCTACTTGTTGTCTCTCTGTCAAATAAATGAATAAAATCTTAAAAAAAAAAAAATGGCATTGGGGTTTTGATAGGGATTGTGTTGATCTGTAGATCTCTTTGGGTAGTATGGATATTTTATCAATATTACATCTTCCAAACCATAAACACAGGATGTCTTTCCATTTATATGTGTCTTCTTTAATTTATTTTAGCAATGTTTTGTAGTTTTCAGTGTACAAGTCTTTTGTTTCATTGGTTAAATGTATTCCTAAATATTTTATTCTTTTTTTTTTTTTAAGATTTTATTTATTTATTTGAGAGAGAGAGAGAATGAGAGACAGCATGAGAGGGAGGAGGGTCAGAGGGAGAAGCAGACTCCCTGCCGAGCAGGGAGCCTGATGCGGGACTCGATCCCGGGACTCCAGGATCATGACCTGAGCTGAAGGCAGTCACTTAACCAACTGAGCCACCCAGGCGCCCTATTTTATTCTTTTTTGATGCTATTGTAAATGAGGTTGTTTTCTTTTCACATCATTTGTTGTTAGTGTATAGAAACACAACTGATTTTTGTTTGTTGATTTTTAGCCTGCAACTTTATTGAATTCATTTATAGTTCTAACAGTTGTTTGGGTTTTTTTGGTGGAAGTCATAGGGTTTTCTACATATAAGATCATGTCATTTGCAGACAGAGGTACTTTTACTTCTTCCTTTCCAGAGTGTATGGCTTTTATTTATTTTTCTTGCCTAATTGCTCTGGCTAAGATCTTCAGTGCTACATTGAATATAAATGGCAAGGGGGGCATCCTTGCCTTGTTCTTGATCACAGAGGATAAACTTTCAGTTTTCACCGTTGAGTATGATGTTAGCTGTGGACTTTTCATATATGGTATTGATTATGTCGAGGTAATTTCCTTCTATTCATAGTTTGTTGAGAGTTTTTTTTGTTTTGTTTTTAAAGATTTTATTTATTTGATAAGAGAGGGAGAGAGAGAGAATGTGCACACGCACACAAGCAGGGGGAGCAGCAGAGGGAGAGAGAGAAGCAGGCTCTCCACTGAGCAGGGAACCCAACATGGGGCTCAATCTCAGGATCCTGGGATCTTGACCTGAGCCAAAGGCAGATGCTTAACGGATTGAGCCACCCATGTGCCCCTATTGAGAGTTTTGTATGATGAAAGGGTATCGATGCCTTGTCTGCATCAATAGAGATGATCATGTGATTTTCATCATTTGTTCTGTTAATGTGGTGTATTACGTTGATTACCTATGTTGAACCATCCTTGTATCCTAGGGATAGTTCCCACTTGGTCATCATGTTTGATCCTTTTAATGTGCTGTTAAATGTGGTTTGCTAAGACTTCATTTAGGATTTTTGCCTATATATTCATCAAGCTTATTGGTCTGTGGTTTTCTTGTAGCGT